ATTATTCTGATATGATCATAAATTTAGCAATAACATCTATACGGTATATTCAATGGCGTAATGATATATTTGTACAATCTCGTTTTCAAGTTTTGAGATATACCTGACGAAAAGATGTGTCATAATCTCCCGGATGCTACCTAGCCGAGTTGAATCCTTCGATTGATCTCTCGAAGTTGGCATTAACTATTCAGACTATTTGTTTGTTTTGTCCATGTTCATCTTAAGATCTATCCGTTGGGAGGCACTGTTGAGGTGATATAGTATAGTGCTTAGGTCCTCCAGTGATTCTGCCATAAGGACTATATCGTCGGCAAATCGAAGGTGAGAGATGTACTCGCCATTTATGTTAATACCGTATCCTTTCCAATTAAGCAGCTTGAAAATATATTCCATAGCAACAGTGAACAGTTCCGGGACATATAGTCACCCAGTCTTATACCTCCCTGCAATTGGATGGGATTCGTACTCTGGTTCTGTACTCGGATAGCTACCGTAGTCCTACTGTACAAATACGTGACATACAGCTGACTCATTTCAAGAAGAGTTTTAGGACAATAAAATATCCGCCACGGTGCCCGAATGTGTTTGGGTGTACTTCACACCTCTTTTTTTTACATCGCAATCATGCAGGTTGACCCACAATGTTTTCCTTCATCGACGAGTACGTGGAAAATCAGCACCCAAAATTGCAATTAACAATTTCTTAGATGCCGGTGGCGATCGAACCCAGGGTATATAGTATATTATATTATTCTATTCAGTAAAACTGACCGGTTCGATCACCAAGGTATATAAGTCATTCTATACCCTGATGATAGCGTAAGTTGAAACCGGTCGGTTTTAGTGAATAAATCAAAATGAGCAATACTAGTAAGCTAATATAAAACCTAAAAAAATGAAAAAAAAAACCTACGTTTTGCATCATGCCATGAGCACTTTTGATGTCAGTGACGTTTAATCTTTAGCCGTCGTTTTCATTTTAGCCAGTATACGAAACTTTGTACACCCGCACAAAAACGTCGTATATCAACAACGTAGTAGAATATCACTTTATGTCGTCGATGTATGATGAAAGGGGAAAAAAGGCTAAAACTATGCATACATCAATGATATAAATTCCACCACAGAAGGAATACTTTTCTATTTGGTGGAAATTATAATCATTTGGTGCAAAATTAATAAAATTTTGTGAGTGAAAAAATTGTTTTTCATTCTTGATTTTAGCTTTTTAAAATTTTTAATCTAATTTTATTCGAGATTTTGCATTGTAATTTAATGCTGTAACAAATTTTAAGTAACATTTGTTGGCTAATGTAGATACTTTCAATAAGCCCAATTATGTTTAAAATTAGCTCTAAAGCAATCTCAGGTCCGTATTAATAAACGTTACTCAACGAAAACTCAAGTGAGTAATCATTTGATACGCCTTACGTTCGTTGCTAATTAATAAACACAAAATAACGGTATCTCATAGGAATACAGCTGTTCTGTGACTTAAGGGCTTGATCTCGTGAATGATTACGTCACATATACCGAAGTTTAGAGTATCGTTTACCACGTTTCGTTTTTGCTATATCGTGAGATTTATTGAATAGTTTTATTTTGATAAAATTTAAATAAATAAAGCTGTACCACGTTATAAAGTTATTTTCTACTTTCTAAAACTTTAAATTGTTAAAACTATTATGTATGTATTGCTAAATACGAACTAAATGTTTCCTACTTAATTCAATATGTACAAATTACCTAACGCAATAAAGCGATGACAGCGCCAGTGTCAAATATAAAACTGACGTATCATTTTTGACATCGGAAAACATCTTGATTACTTAACTTTGATCTCGCGGGAAATTAAATTTATAGAAAAATAGAAATCAAGAAGCATTTATTCACTCCAATTGAGAAAAAATGCTTTCCCGGTGTTATAAAAAAATAGGTCATTATGTTTGGAGTTAAAATCTCCAAACATAATGACTGAATTGCCTAGAGATAAAATAGCCTCAAAAACTTTTTTGAGGGGAAGGGTTCCACTGGGGATGTAACAGGAGGCTATGACGATGGACTGGTGTCCAGTCGTAGCTAGGCTGCATACCGTGGCTTCCATGTTGGTAAGCTGCGGACTAGAAATAGGAGAGTAATGAAGTGTCTTCTTGTAATATATAGCCGTACCGCCGCCTTGGCGGTCGGGTCTGTCGTTACGAAGAAAAGAGAACTTTTGAATGAAAAGGCCTTTAGTTTCCTTAGTTTTGAAATTAGTTTCCTGTAGGAGGAGGAAATTGGCTTCGCGATCTTGAAGAAATAGCTTAAAATCTGGGAGATTAATTCTCAAACCGTGAATGTTAAAGGACACAAGCGATAAACCCTTAGGCTTGATAAGACCGTGAGGTTTTGGCAAAACAGATTGCTCTGTCATTGTAGAGTTAAGTTAATTAAGATAACTTAACTTATAATGAGCACAAAAGATTATGATGCTCTGCAAGAGCGAAGAGATGGTCCTGAGGGGACCTCGCAGCGCGCATTTTGTGTGCTAAGACAGCGATATCCCCAATGTCGATGTTCCTAATAGCGGAGTAAACCGTATTAAGGTCATCAACCATTGAGGGCTGTGGTTGTTGAGGGGCGGAGTGTCCGCGGTGGGTCGGCCTTTTTGGGGCCTTAGGGAAAGACTGGAGAATGCAAAGGCTGTGAAAAGCCCGGAAGAGGCCGAAGAGGGCCCTGAGGGGGCCTAGGGGGACCTTGAGAGGGCCGAGAGAAGCCCTGGAGGGGCTGAGAAAGGCCCTGACGGGGAATTCTTTGATAGAGAGCCGGGAATGACCGTTCATTGACCGGTGGTGGAGCTTGCCTACTGGAGCGAGGATGAGGTGCGCAAGGGTAGCCTCTATAGTTTGCCGGGTGGCCTGTTTGTTGACACAGGACACACGCGGGTGGGGATTCGGCGTCTTTGGGCCGAGAACACTCTTTCGAATTGTGAGGATCGAGGCACTTGTGACATACAGACTACAGACGCGTGACCATATAGCTGGCAGCGGTGGCACTGCGCCGGAAAACCGCGCCTATGTAGGGGCTCAACCCTCACTCTCGACAGGCAACACACTGTGCGTACCTGTTGGAAGATGGCTTTTGCCTCCGGCACGTAAGTTAGGATTATGAGGGTAAGTGAAAACCTCTTGCCCGTTCTGCTGTGCATTTTGTGCACGGCCTCAACAAGGAATCCTTGGGACTTAAGGTCCTCGAGGATGTCCTCATTGGAGAGTTCGAAGGGGATGCCGCGGATGACGGCCTTGACTTTGCGCTCTTCCGGAAGAGCGTACGTGTGGTAGGACAGGTTCGAAAGTGAATAGCCTTGTAAGGCGGCGAAAGTCGTATATCAACTGAGGGACTATGGTTTCACTCATATTTGTGGCCTGGTCGTACTTGATACCTGTGTCGTAATAGGTTTGGACAGACGTGTGATACTAGCCTTGTCTCTTAAGTAGACAGGGGGCGGGACTTGTTTTTTGGCAAGGACTAGAGCACAGCGAGAGCTTGGACGGCGCGGGGATGTCTAAAGACATAAGGGGGCCGAAGCAGAGACGTGGGCTGCAGGGGCAGAGGCGGCAGCAGGAGCTGCGGGGCATGAGGCATCGGCGGAGGCTGCAGGGTTTGGGGAGCGGCAGGGGCCGCTGAGATGGGGGGGTGCGGTTTTTCGCAGGACGTTTACCACCGGGCTTGGAGTTCACCGTAATGAACGAAGAATCACCGGTTCCGTCGGAGTCAGAGCACTCCGATGAACCGGTGCTAGACTTGGTGGCAGGCCTCTTCCGGGAGGCCGACGCAGAGGACCCGGAGTCGGAGTATGCACACTCCATATCCAGGGGGGCGAAAGAGTTTTTAGACTCTAGAAATGCCGCGACAACAGGCGGCGGTTGAAGTGCCTGAAGGGCAGGGGGAGCGACAAAGGCAGCGACTTCGGCGAGGGCCGTCTCATCTAGACTTAGGCCCAGAACAAGAGTTTAGTTTAGGGCGGCGACGAGTGACCTAACTTGATTAAGTGTGGACATGTTGGGAAGCAGTGTTCTAACAAAACAGTAAGGGCGGGTCCCTGTTTTCAAAAGAACAGGGACTTGAACACGAGACGTACTACGAGACAATATATAAGGTATAACAATACAAGAAAAACAACAAGAGAAATAAGAAGAGAAATAACAAAAGAAATAACAAAAATCAACAGTAATAACAACAATAAGAATAACAATAACAAGCAGTGGTCAGTCAAACCTCCCCGCCCGAAGATCTTTGTTTCAGAAAGCACGAGGGATCTGTGACACCTGGCCGCCAAGCTCCAACACGTCAAGCAAGTTTTGCACGACAATAAGCTTCGGGTCACGCGCCTACGTCACAGTGAACGAGTAAAGCCGGCCACAGTCGAGAGAGTGCCTGCTGTACTGTCATATGTCAGAGGTGTCACTGACAAGATTGGCTACATCTTGAAGCGTGCTTCCATTAAAACATACTTCAAGCCGCCGAAGAAGATTAGTCAGTTTTTACCATCAGTCAAGTGTAATATTCCTCTGCAAGATGCAGGAGTGTACAAGCTTGATTGTGAATGTGGTCTCTCTTATATAGGACAAACTAAAAGACCCATAAAAACCCGCGTTAAAAAACACATAGTTGATGTGAAGAATCAACGCGCCAGGAAGTCTACAGTCTGTGAACACGTACAGGATCGCCCCCGTCACTACATTAGATTTGATAGACCACAACTCCTCGCTAAAGAACACCGATTTCTTCCAAGGATGATTCGCGAGGCTAATGAAATCAAAAAACATCCTAATTTCAAATGAGAAGATGGCTGGGTGCTACCGTCGGCTTGGGATCCCATCTATACTAATACCTAGTCAGGTCATAAATTCTGTCACATGTTTAATATAAAATAATTGAAACAAGTTTATTCATTATGTAACCATTTATATATCAAAATGAACTTAACAGAACATAGATTCTTTTGACACTAAATTTTATTCAAAATGATCTCCGTGATTTTGAATACAGGCCTTCAACCTGCGCGGCCAGTCGTCTATCGCAGCACGAACGAGGTCCATGTCAATATCTGCGGCTGCCTTAATCAAGGATGTCTTGAGTGACTCCAAATTGGGATGAGGCTTTGAGCACGTCATTTCCTCCAAGTGTTGCCATATCTTGTAATCTAACGGATTCAAATCTGAACTGGAGGAGGGCCAGTCTTCGTGCCGGATGAAGTCGATTTCACTCGCCGCCAGCCAGTCTTGTGTGCTCTTCGCTCTATGAGCTGGCGCCAAATCTTGTTGGAATACCCAGTGCCTGTTATTGAACATGGTATGGGAAACAGGTTCCACAATGTTCGTCAGGACTGTATTTTCATACACAACTGCATTCGTGTTTACACCTTTCTCACAAAAATGTACCTCTGTTAAGCCCCAATAAGAAACTCCCAACCATACCATGAGCGAGGATGGAAAATGACATCGTTGGACACGCGGTATACGGTTGCTCGCTTTTTCACTACTGTGTGCATACACCTTATCATTTTGTTTGTTGTAGTTCTCTTCTACGGTAAAAAATTTTTCGTCCGAAAAAAGAATTTCCCGATTTTTTTTTCCCGCGTACCGCTTCAACAAAGCGCGGCATCTCTTCAGTCTCAGGTCCATTAGACGAGCATTCAAACGATGTCCTGTTTTTCTTCGATATGCCCGAAGCCCTAAGTCTTCATTTAACACCCTTTTCACCGTGGTTCTGCTTAACCCCATCTGAAGGGCCAACAGTTTCTGCTTACGTTTGGGATTTCTTTGAATTCGCGCCTTAACAGATTTTATCACTGCTGGATTCCTAACAGACCGAGGGCGACCACTTCTTGACCCGTCATCTTCACTAGAGTCTTCATTGTATCGTTTGATGGTACGATAAACAAATCTTTTGGTTATATTCAAATTTCTCAGTATGTCAAAAATTTGAAATGGCGCGTAACCGCAACGATGCAACGCAATAACTGCAACACGGTCTTCTTTAAGCGTCCACTCCATATTTAGATATGAGTAAAATTCTAAAAAGTACACAGTTTTATTTTCATGAACAATTCGAAATTCGAATACAATAAACTTTTTTGTGGCTAGCATTCCAAAAGAAAAGTTTTTACTGTGTGACAATACTTATGACCTGACTAGGTATAATAAGGCGGAAGAGTTTATTTTGGTTTTTTGTTTGTTTAAATGCGCTAATCTCTGGAACTACCAGTCCGATTTGAAAAATTCTTTTTGTATATTATACCCAGATTCATGTGGAATAGTATAGGCTATCTAGCACTAAGCTATATTATTAACTTGGGATATTTGTTTAGCAAGTCAGAAGAAAAAGCACTCCCGAAATGATTTATCCGCGTACGCTGGTGTTATCGTTAGGCATACGTAAATACAATGTTGTAGAAAAATATAGACCTTTACTCCCTCTAAAAAACAGTCCGCGATACCATATGTCTATTTCTTATGCATAAGCCATAATTTGGTATTTTGTGACAAAAAAATATTGAAAACTTAAAAGTGACTTATGAGCGTTGTTATTAGGCATGGCCTATTTATCCTTACGAACGAAAGTTACTTTATCATCAAGACAATTTTATGAAAATAAACTTTGTTCTTTATACCATGTTATTTGGACGCATAGTTTAAGAGATAATGTAAAATTAAAATAATTCAATACTTGGCTGTGCGCGCGAACGACCCTTAAACCCTAGCCGTTATAAAATGATTGAACTAGGTCATGTCGCGCACCTCGGACACGTGATGACGCGGGTGAAACCGCAGGGCACAGCTAGTAATTAATAAAATTAAATCCCAACCCAAGCATACAACTGCAAGACTTCATGTTAGTTCATACTGCGTAGATCGGAACAAAACTTAATAATTTTGTATCTGCAAGTAGCCGTGGTTAATTATGACATTGGGACATCATACACCTTAGTCCCCCCGTGACCATGGGTGCTGTAAAGTGCTCGAAATGACGGGAATATAAAATAAGTTATTATTCGCGATAAAATCCGTAAAATTTGTGTTTCGTATGGTGACTATGATGTCTATGGGGCACAGCATCCACTTGTCATCAGGCGATCTGTGTGCTCGTTTGTTATCTTTTTGTATTTAAAAAAATTAGAATTATTCCACTGCATTTGCTTAAAGCTCTAACAAGTGCTTAATAAATTTATTCGAAAATTATTAAATCGTTCATTTTTATGTTATTTAATATTTAGCATTTGAATTTGTTTTGGTTTTGTATGGTGAAGTCACATGAGGTGTAGTGTAATTATTGTTGTTACTAGTATACCCTAAAGTCATCAAATATACTTGCATACGTAACTAGTTCCCGAACAATGAATAGTAACGAGCAGGTGAAATAAAAATGTTAAAACCAAAGGCTTTAGGTCAAGTCAGATGGGAAAACCAATTATGGAATACATGAACACGTCGTTTAAATTTTTGTATATTTTCCATTCCATTATATTAAAGATCCTAAAATGCATTTACTATCATAAGGCTCTGTTCCAATATTATTACTAACTTCCAAATTTTGTTAAATTTTATATCATTTTCATCATCATCATTATCATTACAGCTTTTCATAAGTCCACTGCTAAACACAGGCCTCCCCCAAGGAACGCTACAAAGCACGGTCCTGAGCCACTTGCTCATCGACTTCCTGCATGTCTCACCAGGTCGTCATTCCATCTAGTGGGGGGTCACCCTACACTTCGCCTACCGGTATGAGGCTACCACTCGAGAACCTTTCTTCCGCATCGGTTGTCGGTTCTTCGATCTATATGGCCGGCCCACTGCCACTTCAGCTTACTAATCCGTTTGGCTATGTCGGTTACTCTGGTTCTACTGCGGATATCCTCATTTCTAAGTTTATCACGCAGAGAAACCCCGAGCATAGCCCTCTCCATAGCTCGCATAGCGACCTTGAGCTTCTTCATACGGCCAGCAGTGAAGGACCACGTCTCAGATCCTGCCCAGCCGAGTTGAATCCGTCGATTGACCTCTCAGTGGAAGTTGGACTTACCTTAGTCGGACTATTTGTCCCAGGTAAACATACTCGTCAACAACTTCGAGCTTAGTGCTCCCAACAACTACCGGCATATGTGTGACATGGACATTAAACACGATCTTTGTTTTGTCCATGTTCATCCGTTGGGATTGAGGTCATAGAGCATGGTACTTAGTTCCTCCAGCGATTCTGCCCTAAGGACTATATCGTTAGTAAATCGAAGGTGAGTGATGTACTCACCATTGTTGTTAATACCGTATCCTTTCCAGTCCAGAATCTTGAAAACTTCTTCCAATGCAGCGGTGAAGAGTTTCGGGCATATAACGTCACCCTGTCTTACACCTGTCTGCAATTGGATAGGTTTCGTAGTCTGGTTCTGTACTCGGATAGTCATCGTAGCCCTACTGTACACTGTACACTTCGATATACCGACAGTCAACTTGGCACCGCTGAAGGGACTGCAGCACCGCCCAAATTTCGGCGAAATCAAAGATTTTCTCATAGTCCACATACGCCAGACATAGTGGCAAATTGTACTCCTGGGACTTCTGTACAACTTGCCGGAGTGTATGTGTCTATAGTGCTAAAGCCCTTTCGGAAACCGGCTTGTTGGGGAGGCTGGAAGTCGTCAAGTCTGCGCGCGAGACGATTCGTAATGACTCTCGAAAACAGCAGGTAGACGCGGCTTAGAAGGGAAATCGGTCTGTAGTTCTTCAATAGAGCATTGTCACCTTTCTTGAAGAACAAGACCACCGTACTTCTGCTCCACGCCTCCGGTGTAATGCTGCCATGGAGGACGGAATTAAAGAGCTTCTGAAGGACTTCAAGTACCGGTTTTCCACCCGCTTTCAGAAGCCCCGTTGTAATTCCATCCTCGCCTGGGGCCTTGCCGTTTTTAAGGTGCTGGAGAGCCATTCTACTCATGCTCAGACTGACGTCCGGCATATTTTCGGAATAGTGTCGGATAAGACTCGCTCTTGGATCGTTACTCACACTTGCGTGTAGCTCCAAGAATGACGTGTACAGCTGCTCATAGAACCTCTCAATCTCACTCAAAATCTCAGGTGCCCCGGAAATGATGCTGCCACACTTGGTCTTCAGCTTTGACAGTTGGCTCTTTCTGTCAGATAGATCTCTGGCAAAGACTTTGGATCCTTGGTTCCGCTCGATCGCTTCTTCTTTCGCTTCTCTCATGCATTTGGAGATCTGTCTGTTTAGTTGCCTGTATGCTGCCAAATCTGTTGGAGAATATAGTTTCATCTCCCGTCTAACAGCCGTGAGATTAAGAGTGTGATCGAAGATTTTTTGTGTTCTTCTGCGGCGGTTCATGCAGAACTTAGCTCCGACCGCATGGACAGTTTCCACGAGCTTGTCATTCATTTCGTCCACTTCATTGCAGTATTCTAGGCACTAAAACGGTTTTGTAACTCGAGCTGAAAAGTTTTGGGATCCTGGAACAGAGCATGAGGGGGACGGAGCGTTGACTTCATTAGACGAGACCTCTCCAACTTAACGTTTAGGTTCAGTGTACCTCTGACCATTCGGTGATCGCTACAAGTTTTCACCCTCGATATCACGGAGACATCACTGAACAGTTGTCGTCTGGTCGTCATTATGAAGTCAATCTCATTTTTTGTCGAACCGTCGGGGCTCGACCAGGTTCACTTACTGAGGGCCGCTTCTGGAAGAAATAATTCATCATAAACTAAAAGTCCCTCTTTCTCCATAAAGTCGTCCAGCGGCTGACCCCTTGGGTTCCGTTGCCCTATTGCAAATTTCCCGACCTGCAGCTCACCGTTCTCTCTTGTGCCTAGTTTTGCATTGAAGTCTTCCATTAACACCGTATATTGGGTTTTGGAGGAATGCATAGCCCTAGAGATATCCTCATACATTTCCTCCACCTCCTCATCGGGTTGTGCCGAGGTTGGTGCGTAAACCTGTATGACCTTTAGCGAAAACCGTTTGGTGATTCTGAGTATAAGGTACGCAACCCTCGTCGACACACTCTCAATCTTTACAACGTTGTTAACGAGAGACTTGTGGACGATTAATCCGACATCTACTTGGGACAGATGGTCACCTTCCCGGTGATAGAGCAAAAACAAAAAAGGATTTGAGGATTACCGTGTCCTCCCCCTCTCTTCGGACTTCGGATAATCCTATAATATGCCAGCGTAACTTATCTATCTCTTCTTCCAGCTCCAAAATCTTCTCGTCAGTCCTCAGGGTGCGTGCGTTATATGTTGCCAGGTCGAGTCGTCTTAGGTGGCAACCGAACCTC